GCTCGCAGTTCATGTCTCTGCTCTTAAGCCTCCCTGTGGCTTGGACCTCTTTGGCTCCTTGGCCGACTCAATTTTGCAGCAAGCCGTCGTGCAAATGTCCAAGGTTCTCTGGCAGAAGGATTTGTAGTGGCCGCGCCCGGCAAAGGGCCGGTGGACGGGCCAGAGGCGTTTTGAAGAAGCTGCGTCATGCCGACCTGGAGGTCTGACAGGCAAGACTCTATCCTTGAAACACGGTCGGCCAACTCGGGATCCGGGGAGCAACAAAGGGTTCCCTCTGGTCCCCGGATTCGGCCGAATGGAAAGTGCAGTGCATGCGTGCGGCTTCCAACAGTGCTGCAGGTTGAGGCAGGCCAGGAGTAACCCCAAGTAGCCCAAGTACAAGAATTGCAAGGACGGCACCTCCTCGTAGGAGCATTCGGCCTCGCGAACAGGGTGAGCTTCAAGCCCCTCGTCGGCCAAGGCAGCAACTTCGACTGCAACAGCCTTTGCGAAAGACCGGCAGGCAGCCGGCGGTTGCGAGTTTGGCGATGCCAGGCGCCGCGAGGAACGGCAATGAGAAGTTGTTCGGAAACCCCGACGGGAAGCACGGCTATTGACTGGTTTTCACCGTCGGGGCCAACAAATGAAAAGCAGGCAGGCTGGGCGAGAGAGGCCGGATCAGCCTCAGAAGCTTCAAGAGCTTAAAAGGGAGGAGCTTCACTTCGAACCTCTTCCATCTAACAAAGCAGCTGGTACTTCGAAGCCCCCGGCAATCAGAGCCTCTCGAGCCTCCCACTTGGAGGCAAAGCCCAGGAAGACAGAGCGCCCGCAGGCTTCGCCACGAAAGCACAGGGCCTTGCAGGCGGCAAAAGAAGCGCACACGGATACGGCCTCTAAAGGGCGGCCGTCAAAGCCAGCGAGAACCAAGTAGATACGGGATTGCAGCCGCAAGCGGTCCTTCCCCGAGACCCCCAGTGTCCGCAGGATCCACAGTCCCAGTACCCCGGGACAAGGCAGGCGGGGGCGAAGAAGTGAATGGAGCAGGCTGAGATTGGCCCGGTCCTTGCGCAGAGGAAGCTGGCAGGGGTAGAAGGGGCTGTGAAGGCGGCAGGCCGGTGCACAGGGGAATGCGCAGAGCGCCGAGGATGCTCAAGGCCACAGGGCCGAGCTGCAGAGGCAGATGCACTGGGCGCAGCGCCCGACACAAGATCAAAAGAAGGAGAGCGAGCGCGAGAGCTCGGGGATTCACCTCCGGCGAGGCGGGCCTCTAAGGCTTGCACACGGGCTTGCAGGCTCTGCAACTCAGCACGCAATTCCAAGCAAAAGGAGGCGAGGCGATCACTCATGCAGCACACGACTGGCAGGAACACGAAAGTCGCCCTTGCTGGCGACGGCACGGCGCAGCCAGGCACGCAACAGCCAGAGAAAGTCCAAGGCAGGCCACAAGAAAAGTTCAAGGAGCAAGCCGACGGCAATCGAAGGCCAACGCAGAGGACCTGTCACAGGGACCGCCAAGTCCAAGCAGGCCACACTGCCCAAATGGCCCGCCGCATCTCGGCGCGATGTGTGATTGATGCATGCGGCGATGCCCCTAGGGACGTTCACATACGAGGTGAAATGGGCGCTGCGCGGCCACTTTACTGCCAGATGGCTTCCCGCGATGTAGATCTGCACGCAAACAGCCACCCACCCTTCGTCTTCAACATAGCCGGGCCCCGGGCCGTCTAGGACCAGGCGATGTGCTTTCGAGCTGCAGAGTTTGACAGATTTAGGCGCTTTTGCTAATTTCTGATTGGGTCATATGGGGCGTGCGCCTTGAGGCTGGCATGTTCACCGTGCCTTCAACCCAGCAACGTCAATGAAAGGCTTGCCTTGACTGAATGTAAGGGTCCAGAGCGATGAGGACAACGCCGCTTCGATTGCGTCACGGAGGTGAATGAAAATGTGCAAGGGGCAGGGTGCCTTCGATCTGCAGGAGCAGCCAAGGGTCCACGTGATTTCCTTTCTGAATTGGTCCGTCTTCGAAGATGCATGGCTTGAGGGTGACGTCCTCCCAGATGCATGAAGAGCATGGCCATGCTGTAGAACAGATAGGGAGCCCAAAAACCTGCTTGCTTCACAGGGTTTCTTCCTTGCCTCGGGAAATTCTGAAGCTTCACCTCTGGAGGGCTGGCCCATCCTCTCATCAGTGACCTTCTGCTCTGCAAACGTCGAAGGCCCGCTTGAGCGCTGGCCCCACTTTATGGTCGTGTTTTTGGGGTAGAGCGCTGCCGAAGTGTAGCCTGCCCCCTCAAAGCTGCAACTACCTGGGGAAAAAGGGCCCAACGATGCCCAACGCCTTTGGTCGCAGCAACTGCGAGATCCAAGACGCTCTGCTGAGCCTTGCGCTGGCCTCTTGTTGTGGGCTTTGTCTGGGATCACCACGCCCAAACAATCAATCGCCTTTGTCGAGTTTTTGCGGCCACTCCTTTGATAGAGGTTGTCCTCAATTGCTTGCCGCCCTGCCCACAAGCCTGCGGAGGTTAAGCTGTGTCTCCGTTGAACCAAAACAATATCCATGAGCCTGCGCACCAGCCGCTGCAAGTGACGCTGTGCGTCTTGCATGCAATGACTGGCACGGACTCTCCTTCCCATGGCGCACTGGGCCCCGACCTCATCGCCCTCGGAGTGTAAGTAGGTGATGGTCCCCCACTCGTCCATGCTGGCCCACTGCGAAGTCTAAGTGCCTTGAGCAAGGTCCGCCGGTATGGGTGAGCGCGGGCTTTACAATGCCTCTTAGCCGACCTTGCCTCGAAGACGGGCCCGCAGGTATGTTTTCTTTTGCTTTCTGCTAAATGCGCTCCGGATTGTTCTCAGAACTCTCGCTGGTGTCCTAAATGTCAAGTTTCTGCCCCAGCTTCTGGAACTTGTGGAGGTTCCACTGCTGAAGCTCTGCCTTGTCGGGCGCAATGCGCCTCTTCTCGGCCTGTCTGCATTCTTTGATGGTGCCCTTGGGAGCTATCGTGGGGAAGTCCATCTGGTCCGTGTCGATGTGGATTGCCCCCGCCTTGAATCCTTGTGCCACCTAGGCGTATATCGTTTCAGAAGGCAAAAACTGCTACCAGAGCGTGCAGGCTTGCAATCCTGGGCCGTGACGGGTCTCAGCGGTCTAGAGACCTGCGGTGATGTTGAATCTCGCCCTGGTCCATTTCTCCCCTCAGGCCTTCTCGTCCGCAAGATGATGAGATGCCATGCTGTTGGGCCCAGCTTGACCAATCTGTGGACGTGGTGCTCTTAGAGCTGAACCAAGGCCAGGGGGAGGACGTCCAGCATGATAGCCGCGGTTTGGAAAACACGCCAAATTGCCAATCACTGAGACTGGTTGCTTGGCCGTGGCTCGCGGGCCATGTAGCACCCAGCGCCATCTGGTACCCAGGCCGTGAACTTGGTGGACCTCAAATTAATATGGTTGCCATACCTCTGGAGTCCCCATAACCGTGGTGTAACGCTGCACCTATTTGTCCGCCACTGCCAAGCTGTCTGGCACAAACTCAAGGTGGTCCCCTTAGGTGATGATGCTGCTCACGTTCATCCTTCTCTCTTCGCTAAGCGTGGGTGCCGTAGCAACTGGTGCAAAGCTAGATTCCTAGATGTCCTCGCTGCCCATGGATCCTCATCAATCCAGGTCTCCCAGTCTTGCCGACACGTTTCCAGGCTATCCGCCTCAAGAACCGCCAGGAGAGCCCCAGCAGAAGGAGAGCGTAGCATTCGCAGGAGCAACTCTTGCGAGCATGCAGTTCTCCGTAACGGCTTCGGCAGGAAGAGCCGCCAACACCCTCAAGTCAGGTTGGCCATGGTTGGCCAGCGTGAGTAACCCAAGCCTGCCAGCCTCTTCAGGGAACGGAGCCCAAGCGGCTCCTCAGCCTCGAGGTTTCCGCCCGCGCACCGGCGCCACACGTACTGGAGGCACCGTAAAGAGGCACCGACAAAAGAATGTAGGGCCTGGTCCTCCTCCTCACACCATCACGTCCTTCTTTCCTTTCAAGCCATGCATATAAAGATCGCGACCCTGACGTGCTGAATCCCTCTGACTCCTGGCAATTTTGCGCTCAACATGGCTACGAGAGGCGACGAGGCTCCAAAATCAAGATTATAATGACAGCAACCCCCTCCAAACAGTCCAGGACAGTTCCGAATGTTGTGTGGAGGCTTGCCAACGCTGTGCACGAGCTTTGCAGACACAAGCGGATGCAAACGAACAGCGTCTGACCGACTCAAGGGAACCCGCTGTGCATGCAGAAAAAGGTGCCTGTGAACTGCTGCCAGTCGCGCCACATGTACAGTTCTTGCGCCCTCTCACCTCACACAGGCAAAAAAAAGTGCTGCACGAAGTCATCACCAGCCACAAGGCCGCAACAGCACTCTGAGACCTGGACGTCAATCATTGCAGTGAGATTCGCACATTGCGTCAAGAGTTTTTCGTACTTCTGCTTCGCCTGCAAGCTGCATGCTCCATGCACTTTCTAAATGCACGCTCACTAGAGCGACAAAGCCTCACGCAGGTTCCTTTCCAGTTGTTGAATACGCTGATCCTTGCGCTCGATCTTTTTGTCGCTTTCTGCAACTTCGACCTGCGCAAAGTGTTGCGACTTAATGAGCAGATTGTGTGCTTGCCTTGCATCGCCTTCAGCCCACTGTTTTGAGCAACCAACTTGTGGTACATCACCTTGCAATTGAGGACTAATTAGCTTCCACATGCACGAGCATGGCGATGTCTTCAGACAATCTGCTGTGAGCTGCTCCAGGTTTTTGTCCAGTTGGGAGACCTCTGCTCTGCATCATCTTCTCGGATGATTACGAAGGTTCTGCTCCAATATTGCGCCTTTCTCTTCAAAGGCCGCTCCGGATCTTTGTCCTCACACTTCGAGAACTAAGCAGCTCTGCAATCTTTAACACTGCAACGCAATCCTCAGTTGAAGACGCCCGGCAGCGAGAACAAACCATGGGCCTGCTTCCGAGCCGCAAGAAGAGTGACCATCACGCCACGAGCACATCTTGAGCTGACGGCCCTTTATTGGTTGGCGTAGTCGCGGCCTTGCTTTGGACTTTGCAATGCAGTGTCTGAAGACACACGTCTGATGCAGAATGCCAGCCAATCTTCCAGCGACTATCTGAGGGCTTCACAGTTGACTGGATAAGATTCTGGTGGCTCTTGGTCAGCTCCTGATAACCCACATTCTGAGGAAATGCCGAATCGTGGAACCCGGGCACGCGCGCCACCCTCTGTGTGCAAAAGTGGCTGCCGCATATAAACGTGTCCTCCAGCTCTTGTGACAGCCAGGTTTTTTCATTTCGCAATCTGCCATGATGGAAACAGAGGTGGATTCTGAGCGCGTCTAATTGAGGCGTAAAGCCGCACGCCGTTTCAAACTCGTCAGCTCGACTTCTCCAGCTCAGACACCTCGCCAGGGGCTACCCTAGCTAGCGACTTCAGAGCAACATGCATTGTTTGCACGTTGGCTAGCGGAAGGGGTGTTGACGCCAGGTGCAATGACCGTGTTTGTTATTGCAGCCAACATGAAGATCAGCGACACATACCATTGCATACCAAACTTGCCGGACACGGCCAAAAAGACTCAGTGCTTGAAGAGTGCAGCCTGTTCGTTCCTCTCATATTCGATACTTTCGCGGTCATTTTGTGCCTGAGCCCCGCGTGACAAGAGCCATCAATCAGACATGATACAGATTATGCATCTTGCAAACTCAGGATGCAACGTCCATAGCTTGCATCGTCAGTCGATGCTTTTCATCCTCTGCCACTCGCAGCTGCCTGCCAGTTCAGCGGAATTCATCAAGTGTACCAAACTTCTTCAAGAGCTACACCTGCCATGACTCACTCCGAACTCACTTTATATGTGACCACCGAGCGCCATGCGACTGCAGCTCTTCCTTCTCCCTGTTCGCCTCAACGCACTGACTTGGGAAAAAATAAAAAATTGTCTGAAGTGAAAGTCTCCGCCATAACATCCTTGACTACATATCATGCACTCATCCCCGATGGCGATCTCCCAAACGAGCTGTGCTGCCTCACACAGCTGCTCCGCTGACGTTTTGAGCTTACCTCGGAGCTCCTTCGCCGTGGCCGTGCATGTTGCAAAATATTTCTGCCGCATGTGCTGTGAATGGTCCTGCAGCTGCTCCTCAAGCTCGGCGCTTTGCACTTCGTCGACTGGAGTCGGTACCGCGCCAGCAGGTAGAAAAACCGCCGAGCTTTTGTCCTTGAGAGGCTGAAGCTCTGATACCTAGAGTGCTCGTGCGAAAAGGGTCCTCTGGTACCGCGATCCCGTTAGACTGAAGCAATTGTTCCAGCCTGGGCCAACTTCTTATCCAAACACGTGTTGCGCGCTACAGGCCAAGTTTCGAACAGGTGAACACGACCGCGGAGTTCTGACACTGCCTGAGAAAGGGAGCTATGGATGCTCGGCGTCGACTCATCAACATGCTTTGGGATGCAGTCCTGGTCTCGCCGTTGCAACAGAAGCTTCAGCTCCTGACGTGTGAATTGTTTGCGCTACATAGAAAGATTATTTTCCTCTCATGGAGTTTTCCTCTCATGTGAGCCAAAGCCAAAAAACGTCACACTCCTGGTGCCCTTCCCGAGCCTCCACAGAGCGTTCGTGGTTAACCTTCACCACGTTCTTGATCATCTTGGCCTAGAGCTCCAAAGATAAGGGAAAGACGTTTTGTGACCGAGGCACTCACGCGTTGACCGAAGCGTAGTGTGCTGACGGTCTCCTAGCGACCGAGACACCATGATCGGAACATCAATAGCCAATGGATGTCCTGCTCGTTGAAATACGAAGGAGAGCATGTGATGATCAATGAAGTCTTCGCGTTGCCTCCGAGTGACTCCTGCAAGACCTTATCACACACGCTCATGGCAACAACCAAGTAAGCCCGGCTTGCCAATGATCCAAGCCGAGCCCTGCCAGCCAGAAAGTTAGTTCCCAGCTCTTGACAGCTTGGAATCGCGGTAAGGAACATGGTTCGACTTGCGGTCAGTAAGTGCGTTGATCACCTTGGAGAAAACACACACTTTAAGTCAGTACCTCGAAATGATCACACAGTGTAGGTCTATAGGGACAGTCAAAGGCCCGAAATGTTCACAGAGGTCTGGACGTTGCCAAGAGCCGAAAGTGACCGGTTGATGTTCTTGGCCTGTATTTGGAGAGCTGCACACACTGTCATAAAGCCAAAAGAAGGATCTTTCACGCAGCAGGCAGATGCGGGCAGCATGCCAACTTTCTGCTCTTCCAGCCCGGAGCACTATAGACAGTTATAGCAGCATGACTTCCTGCCTCATCCAGCCGCTCACCAGACGCCCCTGTCTTGGCAACCTGCAGATGCCAGGAAAATCTGACAGGCGCTCCCAAGCCATAGCAATCATGCTCGACCTTCTCGCTCCCAGCAAGATCCACCAAATGTAATTTACCAACCTGGCAGCAGTGAAGGCCTCACTAACGTCAAAAGGCCTTCCACCCCATGCATTCCGTGCATGCTTCACCACCATTTAGCTCGGGTGGGCAGCGCTCGCTCACAAACTTTGAGAGTTGGGCTTTGGCTCAGCCATGCAGGAAAACAAAACGACTTGTCATGCAGAACAGCCTTGCGCAACACAAGTGCAAAATCATGATGTCTGAACCCTCCACCCATGCTTAAGAGAGATCCCGGACAGTTAGTTGCACAAGCTTACGGATGTCTCAGTGAGCATGGAAAACTCAGCAACACTGAAAAGGCCGAAACAAAGGAAGAGCGAGACTGTAGGCAAAACAGCCGGAAGCAAGGAGCCTGTAACACTGGAGTGCTGCAGGCAGGCAGAGCCCAACAACAGATGAACGAAAAGATGAATGCACAAATGAGCCGCGGAGACAACCAAGAAATCAACAAACCACACCATGAAAGAAAAGAATAATCAACTGAAAGAACAACACAGAAAACGCAGCAAGGAACAGCTGGGGAATGCATTAACAGGGTAGGGTAGGAGGGCGAAGGGCGAACGACAGAAAACAACAAAGGACATACACAATCTAAATCTAAATGCAGAATCGATGCATGCAAATGAGCAATAATTCAATAATAGAAGACAGTAAAAACGCGACAAACAGCGAGGTTCTCATCTACATCGAAACAATGCAGCAACTCGAAATTATTGAAACACTGGCCATGGAGATTCCTTCACGGAGCGGTCATGCAGGTTCTTCTGCTCGATGGTAAGCATGAAGATCAGGTGTGACCTCTCACATATCAACACTGATCTAGCATCACTTGATCTGTGAAGCGGCCACACATGCAGGCTCTGCCCCGCGCCTTGACGAATGCTCATTCAGATTAGTCTCTGCAACTGCACGATTGTACTTGCCAGCTTTCCTGAATGCAGTCGCAGAAACAGTTTTGATCTCCAAATGCAATCATCTCGGGCGGCTACATCATGTCAAAAATCTCCTGTTCAGACCTCAGGAAGCGCTGTGATGTTCAGATGGTGTCTTGACTGTTTGAATGTTGTTGTGTTGCTAGAATTACATTTTTTCATACTTCTCGTCCTGCAAAACAGCTAGCTCACTTGTGCAAGAATATTGAGATGTACAAGCAAGTCAGCTGATCAACATGCAACCAAACTGAGGCATCACTCAGCTCGCCGCCCCACATATGTTTCGGTGACTTCGCCGATAAAGACACCCCGAGCCTGGCATTCGCAGATGGATTTTCCCGGCATCTATGTGCCGTTCTAGCAAATGCTGCGTGATTTACATAATTTATATATTGCTACATGGTGCTATTGCTCTTGTGCTCCAAATGAAACTAGGAGGGAATCTCTTACTGCTCTTCCTTAATGCCATACTAACACATTTTCACTGATCAACCCTTTGGTTGTGATTACATACATTTTTTGCGGTGAAGGACGATTATACCAGACAAAACAAGATCGGCAAAATCTTCTTACGTTTGCGATTCTGAACACGGAAACTGAGCATGACGAGCAATGACGCTATTCGCAGGATTGTGTTATTGTGGCCGGAACTGGTGGCAACAAACTTCCCGAAAAAAATAGTGATGGAATTAACTGCACGAAGAAATCAGCGACAACAGACGACAAATCGCTCTACGTGCAACGCACTAGACCAAAATGCGCACTGCATTTTTTGATTCGGTGGGGTATCGCTTGTATCGGCGAGGGCACCTCAAACGCCCCAAAATCCCCCAGGGCTGGTCGGGGCGCATATACCCCCCAATTCCGGGGTTGGGCGTTGGGGCCCACCCCTGTCCAAAGCATGGCGCCCGTATGGGCAAATGAAATGTTCAGGACAACATTGAAACCGCCTGGCCGCCTGGGTTGGGCGGGTGGTTCGAAATGCGGTTCGAGCGATCGGCTGCGGTGCGCGCCCGATTGCTCAATGCTGCAACGAACACACGACGTGTGTTCTCAAACATGCCTCTCTACCTTCAACTAAACCAAAATGCGCACGGCACTTTTTGATGCCGTGAGGTATCACCTGTTGGCGGGGGGTCCTCAAACGAAAGCCCCGAAAACCAGCCGGGACCGCAACGGAAACTGCAACCAAAACGTAACGGAAGCCAGGCCGCCAAGCTGCCGAAACCAAAACCGGAACCGAAATCCCGGAGCCCAAATTTGGGGACCGATAATCGGTCCCCCTCCAGGCCAACTTTTTTGCAACTTGCTTGTACCTCGTTGAACTCGAACTCATTTTCTGCTTGAGCTACCACTAGTGCTATTTCTACACTCCTTTTTGCAACTTACTTGTACCTCATTCTAATCATTTTTCTGCTCGTACTGGCACTAGTACTGCTTCTACATTCCTTCTTAAATCTTGAAACTAAACCTTAAACCCCTACACCCTAAATTCCACGCCAGAGCTTTGGATCTTCACCCTTCAAGGGTAAGGGTTTAGTGTTTAGGGTGCTGGCTCAAGGGGATTCATTCATTACAGGGATAACAACGGCTGCTATATGCTTTTTGTGGGCTAGAAATACTTTTACTACTACTCCTACGACTCCAAAGTATGATGGTAACTGGTACCTAAACCCTGAAAACCGTAAACACTAAACTCCAAGCCGGAGCTTTTTTTCTTCACCTTCCAAGGGTCAGGGATGGTCAGGGTTTGGGGTCTAAGGGTCAGGGTTTATGGTTTTAGGTTCTGGACCCAGGGGACTTCTTCACTATAGGGATAACAGCTAACAGAGGTTGCTATAAGCTTTTAGAGGCTACAAGTACATTTACTAAGTCCGCTTGACCTTCCAAGTGATGCACAATCGCGAACCCCCGGCCCAAGTGCGGACTACAATATGTTGGTCTCCGTTTTATAGAATTTCTTTTTCTAAGCCCAAAAATTTGGATCCGAAAACCCTAAAGCTTAAACCCTAGACCTTGAAGTTCACATGTCTCATGTCTGCCCTTGCTTCAGGATGATAAATTGATATTTGGGGCTGTGGCCTGGTTTTCATTTGTCGGAAGCCGGAAAGCCCGACAAAATGCATCTAGAAGGGGTACTGAAAATCGGTCCCGCTTTGGCAGAGTCCGAAGAAAAAAGCTTTAACCAGTCTCAACACTTTTTCGAAGCCCCGGCTGGTTCCCGTTACGCAGGGCCCAGCGGCCCTGTTACGGAAACCGCGGTTCCTTTTACGCTCCACTGTTACGGACAAACGTCTCCTGTTACTTCCAATCCTCCTGCCAACCGCGTTTAGCCAGTGACCAGAAGGCGGAGAGGATACCATTGACAGCTGGATCAGGCCCCTTTCCTTTGTTGAGCGCCCAATGGCCAGCGGAGTTATCGATGAACGCCGCCCATGCATCTCCGAGGCGGCCAGCCCGCCCTTCTGGAATCGAACTTGTGCGCAAACCAGTCAGGCACCGAACCACAGTCGTACCCCTGTCCATTGTCTGCGCTTGGCATGCGGCGGGACATATCTCGCCTTGTTTTGGGTTTCGCCTTCCAGGAAGAAGGCGTCAGCATGGATCAGAAAGTGGTTGCCCTCCATGAATGGTAAGGAGTGAACATGGCGGTATGTGTTGCAAAAGGTCCTTCAGGGCACAAAATGCCGCATGAAGTCCAAGTGGCAGCCCCTCCGCCTGGCCTGCCATAGATGGGCCCCAAAGCAGCTCGCCCGACCTCGCCAAAGACGGTCTGGTCTTGCTGGCTGATCGCCAAAAAAGGCAGTGATGCCATAGCCGAAGGCTAGGTCCGCCTGTGCGGCGGTGTCTGCATCCACGGTAGTAGACGTCGCTGTTGGTGAGGAGGAAGTCAAAGGGCCGCCAGCCGCTGTAGGCGGCGAGGTCGGTGTAGGGCCGCCATGAGCCGCAGCAGTAGTAGGCGGTGAGGTCGTGGCAGGCACGGAGTCCGCGCCACAAACGTCAGTGCCAGGGTGCTCAGGCGGCAAGACATCGGTCTGTACTTCCGAGGCATTGATGAGATACTGCTCGAGGGCGGTCAGCCCGGAAGAGCGAGCCGCCCAGAGGATCTCCTGCGACAGAGTACTTGCTGCCGGGGAGGTATCCGCCCCACAATGAGCGGCTCCGTGACGGCGATCTCCTCCGCCCCGTCGTTGGCGGTTGTCGCACGTAAGGCCATCGTCGTTGTTGGCCGCCGGATCCAGGACGGTATCGCCACGGCTGACGTGGTCCGCCTCATTGAAGTGGTCGCCAAAGGAAGCCGTGCTCAAACCACTTGCCAAAATGAAGATTGCGATCGTCCAAGCACAGACGAGGGCAGTGTCATCATGCCGCATATCACCCGGCGCAGGCACTTGAAGTTGCTTTTAGAAAGCTGCGACAGCGCAATTGCGCAGGCGGTAGCGCCGGCAACGGCAAGGCGGCGCAGGGCGGTAACCGCAGGAGTTGGGGCCGCCATGACAAAAGCAAACGCGGTTACAGGAGGAGAGCCAACATGCGGCCCGAGCAATCGGCTGCGGCGCATGCCCGATTGCTCAACGTTACAACGCACACACGTGTGATATCACACAAATAACAGGGACATTACTATTAAAGGACAGTCATTGCCATGTTATAAGTCATGATGTTTCCACATACAGATTTCAGCTTAGTATTCGCACGCAACATTTCAATGCTGAATGTTCACGATGCGCAAAAACTGGGAGTCTTGGAGTACAAGTGCGGTGTCAAGTGTAGCTTGAATTTGCGCCAATTATGTTCTTGACACATTGCGTATTCTGCTTATGCCGCTGCTGGGTGCTTTGCTGCATTGTCTTTAAATCAATGTTTTGGCAATCGAAACAGTACTAGTAACACGACAATGTGATCCGCGACAGCTCTCGCTTGTGCTGTGCGCAGTTGAGTCGCGCAAGTCGGCGCGGCAGCTGCACATGCCGCATTCAGCGCACGTCTAGTTTGGAAAAAGCACGAAATTCATAATCTTTCCACAAATAAGTCGTTGCAACAGGGCCCATGGCAACAGACACGTTTGTTTTTCCATCCACCCGAATTCGGCAGTAGTGGTCCACATCACCGATGCTTTAAGATACCTCGGCACGATCAACTGCTGCATCGGCTCCGCCCCTCAAGCTGCTGCCAACGCGAACGCAAGTTGATGGCAGGTCGTCGGTTTTTTACGGAGCCAGTTGCCGGGCTCATCAGATCGGACCACCAGCTAAACCAATCCGTGACCCAAGGAACGGCGCATGATCCTGTGCGGCAAAAGTGCCTCCGACATAGCTCCAGGTCGATTTAGAGGGCACGCAAAACAGCTTGGGCTTCCAGCAGTGAAATCAGCATGTGCTCATCCTGGACAGCCGAAGTCACCATACCTTGGAAATACACAGACGTAGCCAGAAGAGGATGCCTTGGTCCTTGATCTTGATGACATACCTCACAGCGTAGCTGGCATCCAACATCTTTTAAACCACCGGCTTGAACACCGACACGGCGGACCCATCCAAGTGATGCAGCCTTGGTGGCAATGTGCCTTGGACTTTGCTAATGCGGATGACAAGTGCCAGGCTCATGAAATTGAGATATGTCATTTCAACTCTTCAATCATTCTACTGAGTCCACACCTGAAACATACCTATGCTTGCGAGTGCTTGCGGGCCGATCTCTGCCACACTTTGCCTGTTTCTTGGCCGCTGTCGTAAATGCCAACCTCCTGTGGATTTTTGTGCCGCCAGACTCGCGGTGCACTAGCCATCGTCATTCATGTGATAAAGTGCAGCAAGTTATCCATGAAGAAATGCTGTTGAAATTCTGATCTCCCGCAACTGCAAGGGCTGCGCGGTGCCGCATAGGACATGCAGAACCTCACGGTGAGAGACGAGAGGATGAAGCGTCCAAATCACAACGAGCCACAAGGCACTCTTGAGCCGCCTTCCTTTTGTTCTTTGACATATCGGTGTTAAAATATTTCCGGGTTGAGGGTTCAGCTTCTTCATCCGACCAACTTCGGTCTGCTGGTTTTTATCACACCGGAGAAGCTCTTCCAGTGGTCCCTGATTTTGCTTGTTGTACATGACTTGCTTCATCTTCATCTTTTTCCCTTGGCAATAGACGACTTGCGTGCTGCGGTCGAGGCTATGAGCGAACTCTTCTCTCTGTCTGCCAGCTCAATTTAACCAAACCGATGACGATTTCAACCCTTCTTTTTCAGATTCTTGACTTGGGTGTCATCAAACTGAGTGGAATTGCAACTCCAGTTTTGGCAAGACATCTCTTCTTGGCAAAATTGCTTCACTATGTGTCAAGACATTCCAAGAAATTCAATTCAAGGCGGCGTTGGAGAAATCTGGGAAACTTGATTAAACTTTTATGTCAACCCTAGGTACCTATTCTAATTTTTGTCAGCTGCAATGGGAAGTATCGAGCGGCAGTATATGTTTGAAATACTTTGGAAAGCAGAAGCCGCGAAAATTTGACGTCTGGAAGAGTTAACACTTCCCTCCTTGTTTTAAACTTCTAAAATTCAGAGTATGGATGTAAGCTCTGATCAAACACGATTCGAATAAGGTTCTTTTCAGGAAGTCCTCGGAATTCCAACCAATCCCACCGTAGACAGCGTGCGAACGAAAGCTAACTCAATACCCACTGGCGCACTTCTTGCGCACAGCCACTCTGCAAAAAGCTGTTTTAAGGCATAGAAGCCTGGATGCTTGCTTGTCAATTGTGCCAGCACTGGCAAACATACGCTACCGCTGATGCAGCTGGGTTAGCCCACAATTGCTAGACGGCCTTGGCAAAGGCAGTGTACGAACTATATTAATGGAACCTCTACCTGCTCTGCATTCACGCCTACCCTCCCACAAATGGAAGCCGACAAAAACCAACGCTCACATGTCTGCACGGACTTTTGCATAGCGAGGGGTTGGCTCCTATTGGCTATGCGAGCTTTAGGGGTATCGATTGATGGGTTCACCCCCATCGGTTTTTTGAACCTCTTGACCAACCAGGACATGTAGTCTCCTCCCTAGACTTAGTCGGACACTCCTATCAATACGGCCCCTAGTGGTACCCGGAATCGTGTGTAAAGCTAGCTGGACCGCTGGGCGGACACAGCAAAGACTGCACACTTGTTAGAGAGTCCGACTCGAATCAGCTTCCAACTGCAAAACGGGAGGTCGCAAGATGCCAAAGCACAAATCCATGTGCGAGGCGGTCTACCGATTGCTCGTGTTGCAAAACTTTCCGAAAATGCTGACATAATCGGATGATCTAGGACGTCTCAACCAGGTTGCCTTCCACATGATTGACCACTCTCAAAGGCCCAAATGATTTTCATTGTGGTTCACACCAACACCTACACCTCCACCGGATGATGCACGTCGGAAGCATCTGGTCCAAACGACATGTCCCTCTAAACTCATGAAAAGCTGACCTGACTTTGTAGATTAAGCAAAACGCTTGCAGCTCTGTCAGGTGTCTTGCCTTGTCCTCGTGGATTTTTAAGTTGTCCTTCTTTGGATCCAGCAAGTCACGAATACCTTGGCTTCCATCGATCAACCTTGTAAGAGCTCCAGCGTCTAGGCTCTGACGTTCGTTATAGATCTCAACAATGGATACCTTCACCAGGAATTCGATGTAGTCTGCTGCCTCAGTTGCTGCTCGAGATAAGCAGTGCAAAACCCTTCAATATGAAGTCAAGGGACGTGGTCGATCCCATCGAATATTGACCACACCATCCTGCTATCTACAGACTCAGCACGGCGAACGACTTTCAGTATACTACTTTTTTACTTCAAACCGGAGCAAGAGATGATGCCCCCCCCAAACGCATCTAGAAATTACTGGGCTGCAGCGCCACAGCCTTCCACAAGTAAAGACCACGGGCCAAACCCTGTGTCCAAGTATAGGATAGGTACGTGGCCGCTGCCAAAAAAGTCTTCTTTTTCTCATTTATGAATGGCTCAGGATCAGTCAGCTGATCTCAGCGCAAAAACATGCCAATTGTGCAATGTGAACTCGCACCATACGTTCAGTCTCCCGTGCGAGCATGAGCCAGTGTGATTGGATCTCCAGGCTGTTGAAAGCTCAGAGCTTCATCCCGGTGACACAAGTTAGTTGTTGGTACAGCCAGCGCCTGCTGCTTCTGATACAGTACCGAGCATTGATGCATCTGATCGGCCTTGGAATGACACCCATCTGGATCTCATCTTCGATATCTGGTCCCTGGCTGGTTTTCACGCTTTCGATTACAATTTCTGAGACTTCTGTTGTCCTCCATGGTGTGGGTCTTGCCAGAAGATGTCTGACCTGTCGTGGCTACGCCGAAATATCACTCGCCCAAGCACCTCCATAGGCAGCGCTGCTGAGGATGGCTCCATATGCAAATACTGTTCCATTGAAGCCACGGAGCCTCAAGACATCTGGCAGTTAGCCTCGTAGTTAGCATTAAGCCTAAGGTCAGAAGAGCGACAATGCAAAGATGTGTGCAAAATCGAGAAAATCGACAGCAGAAACTGGACAGGAGAAAGAAGGATAACAGACGTTGGACAGGCGACAGCAGCAGAATCGGAAGACAGCTTCATAAGCACTGCAACGAACATGAGCAGCAGCATCGAGCACGCTTTGAACATGTGTAGGCAATTGCCAGCGCTGCCAGATGCTATTGCCTTGTTGTCACTCCCTTAGGTAAAGGCCATTAGAGCCAGAACCCGAGGTCACACACCCTACCCCTACCGTCCGTCAACAGTTAATAGCGACTAGTGAATGCCCGACTCACCTGCACCGGCAGCAATAGGAGCTACATCCAAAAGACACGGACCGCAAGTTCTGCTGTCCCGTTTCTGTTGCGGTCCATGTGTTGTCCAGAGCTTTAGCGCCTCAGGCTAATCCGCTGAGGCTGGAGGGTTTAGGCTAGCCCTCCTCCTACCCTCTCTGTTGGTCGGGTTTCGCGCGGGCTGGTGTGGGTCTCGGTTGCAGGACCCCCTAATTCGAGGTCAACCCGGCTTTCAACTCGAAAAGTGTTCAAAACTATGTTTTGGGGGTGGGGGGTGCCCCGGAGGGCTCGCGGGTTGGGAAGCAAATTTCTTGGCTGGTCTGAGCATGCAGGACATGAACATTGCTCAGGCGTGAAGCGGCCGCCCTTGGCGAGTCAGTTCGCGCGCTAGCGGTTCAATTACAGAGCTTGCCGGCTTATCCACATGGATGTTACGTCTGGGAGGGCTGACACGCCATTGATGATAGGCTTGGCCGCGTAGTCATACACCTGACAGTTACAGTTGGCATTTGCGCTTCCAGTACTTCATGACCCTCGGAGACTAGAAAGCTTCTCTCGTCACTTCAGTCTGATGTGTTGCCTCCTTCTGTGTCGCGTCGACTCCAAAGACCCGATCATAAACAAAGCTGTTGTCGATGGAGGGTACATACCTGCTCTCATGACCACCAACAGAATTGCGGTCTCACTGGCAAAGAAACGTGTGAAGCAGTGGATCAAAAACTATTACCACTCAGAGTCCATCATGTCCATCATTCATTCTTTAGGATTCTAAGGCAGCTTGCAGGCTCAGCAAATTGCCAGTGTGTTAATCAATGCTGAATGGTACCAATGGTTGAGGCACGGCAATCAAACACCATGGGTCACACGGAAGTGCCATCTCCATTGATTGTGACACAGATCCGGCCGCTCTGCTCTTTCTCCAACTGATTTTGTGGTCGGAACCTGGCAGCAAGCCATCACCGGCACTGCGCGGGATGCAACGCGTGACCCACTCGGCTCCTGCAGCAAACCTTTATGCTCTCCTCATGCCTCAGCTGCCCAGGTAAAGTATACAAACAGCTCTGCAGAAGAAACGAAGGCCCTGAGATGCTTACGGATCTTGCCCATCAGCAGCCATCTGCTAGCTCAAGCCTGGCTTCTGCACGAAGCTTCTGTGATCCGTGCAACTTCGCCTGAGGTCTTGGCACTGCCTGTTCATGGACCTAGCGCAGCTCGCAAGAACGGTCAACTCACGTCAATTTCTGGCGTTAGCGGTAAATGCGTTCACCGGGATTCGGTTATTGAACAGAAGCTAAGCATCCAGCCTGCTTTTGGTGCGGCCAGGAGCCAACTTTGCTTCCCCGCTCTGCACTGCTTTTAGCACTGCTAGCACTGGCTGTAGAAGGAGATTCCGCCCTTTGATGCTACTGCTTTCCTGGACTCAGGTATGTGGTTAGGCAGCATGTTTGCACAGTGCTCTGTTGCAATGCGAGCCATACAGTATATGCAACTCTGCCGGGGACTGGCAATTCTTGGAGAAAAATGTGCTGCCTAGTTGCACCAGCCCACAGCTGTTGAATGTCCGGCATCTGTTCATGCCGGCAGAAAGGTTGACTCTGCAGGGCAGAGCGAAGCATGCACAAGCTTGATGCATCAACTTTTGCTGCAAAAGAACTTGCACACCATGCATGGCACAGCTTGTTTCCGTAGCAATGGGCAAGTTCATCTGGGAACCTGCACAAGCTTGACACGAGGCGAAACATCTCCGAAGCGAGGTTCTGCCAGCCTCTCCTGCGATTAGCCGCCTTCCCAAGACGCTGCGGGCATTGCCAGGCTATACACCCAGTGATGCAGGTAGTCTGCATTCTTTGAGAGGATGCAGAAATCTCGTGCCTTGGAGGGGGATACCAGGGAAATCCGCAGGTCTTCTGCCTTAATTAGCAGCTTCGTCACGGTGCTCACAACAATTTGCGGCTCAAAGCTTGTGTACCGCTTGACAGCACTGGGAGTCTCACGTCATGCCTGCAGCAAGAGTCTACGTCAAAGTGATGCTTGTCAGAGTGGCTATCCCCGGACACGACAACAACTCATTCACAAACCCATCATCAGTGCTGACACGAAACTTGAAATCAAGCTCGCAGCGTGCAGCGGCTGAATGAGTGGAGTGACAGAATGACGCTCAAGATCCGTTGGGGTCTGCAGGTGCCAAGGCATGATCGGATGGAAACAGGCCTCGGGTTTCCGACCCTTCGGGTCCGCGACTTCTCGGGACTTGAGGCCTTGAAATATTTATTGTGTTTGTCGATTTGTGGTGTTCGAAACTCGGGGTTAGAGGCATTCCGCGCTTGGACCAACAAGCGCCGACTGCTGAAAAGCTAGATCACAAGTCGGGCAACACCCGTTTCTTGCTCGCCCCAGCGTAGCTTTGCCAAAAGTGGCGGGTGCTGCCACCGAGGGTCCAGAGCGGAGCCCGTGTTACCCGGGCTGGCGCCGGGTTGCTGACGCCCACCCTTCCCACAGACCTCTGTTTCTCTACTGGTCCCTCCTAGACCCCCGCTCCAGAACCAAGCTCCAATTCACGGTCGCTTTTGAAGCTCCCCCATGCCATTTGTAGAGTTTTTCCAGGACCCACAAAGAAGCATCATGAGCACGCGGCTTTTCAAAAACTAGCACGAAGGCTCGTCTTGGCCCAAAAAATGGAGAAACAAGCCCCGATGATGCTGGTGATGCTGGCCAAGGGGGCCAGCATCATCAGCATCATCGGGGTTCGCCAGGCATATTGGGTTGATGCTGGTCGGATGCCTGCCTCACGGAGATTATTACGGTTCTCTGCGAGTTGTACGATGAGTTTACATGGCAAATGATAACGGAATGCCCTCGAAGAGCTCCAGATGCTGTTATTTGGCCTGTTGGAAAAAGGCTGAGCTTTTTTTTTTCAAAAGAGCGGCTTGCCTATGAAACTCCATCGGACTCTATCGGCTTGCCACCCCGCCTCCGCAAATAGGGTCCAACCCGCCGGCTTTCTCCAATAGTCCTCACTGTAGACATGACCCTTATATGATTTGTAATGAATCTTCAACTGCTGCCACATTGCTCACTGGTTTGCAAATGGGCTGCCCAGCCCACAATGCACCGCTTTCCTTTCAGAGTTTCCTCACTGGCAACATGACTCCGTATGACTTCCAACTTGGAATATCATTTCAACGGAACCACACTTGTTATTACATAAACCCTGCATGGCTTGCGAACTGAGGGGGGGGCCCCTGCCAACCCCACGTTTTCTTGAGAGTGGCCGGGCTTTCAACAGAAACACGAAAAAACATCTGGGCCTGAGTTAAACTGCTGGACGCGGCGCGCGTAAGAGCGGCCAGGCGGGAGCAGGTAGAGATTTCCTTCCTCAATGGCTTGAAAATGGCGGGAGCTGCGCACCCCCCTCAACCAACCCGTTTTCCTTGTTTTTTTTACGAGAAAGAGGAGCCTCCCTCCGAAAATGACATCGTGCGATTTCCTGAACAATCAATATCAATACTCGCATTCTTGCAATCGTGCTGCTTTCCATGGATTGCAAACGGCACGGGTGCAGCTGACGGGCTTTGGATCCCCGAGGACAGACCCCATCAAATGCTGCAGTTCGTTTTGCGCCCCCCAAAACGACTAGCAGCGCGTCGCAGGCTGCAATTCGCCTTCGTATTTTCCCAAATGTTCATCCTCTGGTTGTTGGACAGCACCTGCACGCCAAGGACTCAGCTAAGACAAGCCGCAAGGTTTCTATTTAGGGGCTGATGCCAGGGGTTGGCAATGCAAGAGGGCAAATTGCGTTCAATGCGTTCAGTGTTGTGAAGCTCGCGCTGCTAATTTCAGGCCTAGCAGCGGTGCCGGCCCGACCGCCTTCATAGCCAACAGCAAGAGACAGCGAGCGCAAGAGTAACATGGGCAGAAATTAACAGGGTAAGAAATACATTTTGGTAGAAGTAGGAGTGGTCGGCATGGACAGTAGTGGTCCTTGGAGGAGGGGCGGGCAACGGACCCCCAACGATGCCGATGATGCCGGGCCCCACTTTTCCCATCTTTGGGGGCCACATCTCCACTTGCTGGCCCCCCCGGTGCCCCTTGGCCTTTCCTTGACTTCAAACTTCTCTTCCCTTAGGTCTAGTTTCAAAAAAATACGCGCTCATGATGTTTTTTGGGGTGGTCCTGAGAACCCTAAAATCCTATCAAATCCCTCCAAAAATCCGCCCACCCCATCAGTGAACGCGGTCTGTTGGCCAAGTTGGCAAAATCTGCAAAATGGATTTGGGCTCCCCAAGCACCTTACGAGCGTGTGACCCCATTATCAGCACAATCGGGGATCCTTTTTGCCATCTTGAAGGCAATTTCAAATTTACTTGCGCTTTATAAGCTGCTCCCCGGCACAATGAGTGATTTTTCAGGTTGGTTACGCCGATGGGTTTGGCCAATTTTTGAGTGGGATTTGGGTTTGTAGGTCGCATTTATAGTCACTCGCACACATTGTTGAGCTGTTGAAGCCGCACATAAAGCCAGCAGTGACCGAAACCACAAATTGATGGACAGGATTTTTGATATCCTTCCATTACAGCATTTGGCACTTTTGAGGTCGTCAAGCACAGCAATTTCCAACAATTGGACGCCTGAAAAGCAGCAGACACTGCAAATGTTGACTCCGGAATGTCTTCAAATGTTGCAGATATCCGCCATCCTTCTCCATCCTTCTCCATCCTTCTCCTGTCCTCCTGCCTCCTTACCCACCCCCCCTGTCCCCACCCCGAAGTCGCTTCCTCCATCCCCTCCCCCCATTCAAATTCGTCCAAATTACAATTATGCTTTGTTTGACTATTCAATGCCTCCCATTCTCCCCCTTCCTTTGCCCATCCCCCGTGCCTTCCCTTCCACCCTCCCTTCCTCCCCCCTTCCGCCCTCCCCCCTCAGCCAGTCAGTCAGTCATTCAGTCAGTCAGTCAGTCACTCAGTCACTCAGTCACTCAGTCACTCAGTCAGTCACTCAGTCACTCAGTCACT